CGCCCATTCCCATATATAGACCCCCTGTCATAGATAGAAAAGTAGATCCACTACAAATGTCTTGGACACCGTGCCCCTATTTGGGGGTCACTATTTTGTTCTACACACCCAAATGGTTCGTCCCAGCTGACGAACCTCGAAAAACCTCGAAAAGCCCTCTCGTCCCAGTGGGAGCACACTGCAGTGGGAGCACACTCACAATCAGTCTTAAACACTAGTTTACTAAAAAAGTAGAGGTGGGTTTTTGAACGACGCTCAGCTGACGAATGAACCATCTTCCAAGGGACGATACACGTCACGCCAGCCCTGAGAACTGCCTGGCGCCGTGTTCCGCACGGGTTCCGCGCGGGTGCATTCAGCAGGAGGCCCCTGCTGCAGCAGGCCCCTTTTGGATGGCCAGAACGCGTCACAGGCATCCCAAACCAAGGACTCCAAGAACCCCCAAAACCAAGCTACCGACCCCCGCAGTTTGATTCAACTGTGGGTGTGACACGCAAAAGCCAAGTACAACCTGGTCCGACTGACCTCATGTAGTCGTGGAGTATGGTATGACTGGGGGAAAATGTTCTGAACAGGAAGAGGTCAGTTCCGTTACGGGTGACTGCATCTGGGATTGGCTGTCCAGGAAACCCTGAAAAATAGATGGAATTGTTTCCCCAGAAAGGGGATCAACATGGATGATCAACGGGGAAAAGACATCATTAATCTTAAGTCTTAAGCAAAACCAGGGCACTGCCCATCGAGAAGGAGCACTGCCCGTCACTCCATGGCTGCCTGAAGCGTCTCTTCGGTATCCAAACTGCTGCGATCGCCGGCCATCAACCTGCGAGGACCGGAGCTGCCCGGGTGGAGGTGAGGTCTGTGGCAGGTCTGTGGCTCAGGTCAGTGAAAAAAAGCCGGGAGAAAAACACAGAACGGTCTGACATGCTAACATCGTGCCAAGAATCAACACCCTGGCCACCTGACCTGACCTAGATGTTCAACAAGGTTTCTTTGGTCTGAACATAGCACATAGATGCACATAGTAACATGTCTATGCCCTATGCAGCATGCAAAAAGAAACGGTCGTCGGTCTTGGATGTTCGCCTGCAGCAACAACGACCCAATCGGAGCACACCAACATGTGGAGTCCCTTTCCCAGGTTGGGTTAATATGGTTAATCAAAACCTAGACTTCCAGGACCCACGCCGGTGGCAGTCTAAACATGCTCCTGGTTGCCGCCCTTGTGTCTTCGCTCCCCCATCGGAACATCCCAAGGTCCGACTCGGCGCGGACTCGCCGCGGATCGCCTCCCATGAACCAGAAGCCCTCGGCTTCCAAGTTGGCCATGAAATTCCACAGACCGTTCGGGGGTGCCGCATGGTGCCGCGGAGACCGCGCTCCATGTTACACAATCAAATCCAGGTGCGAACTCATCCTTATGTGTAAGTAGATGTTACGCTGGTTATAACAATACAAGTTCCATAACTAGGCCTGAACCACTATAGTCTCTCCAACGGCTTCGGCGAACGTCCGCGGAATCGGCGTCCCGAGCCGGAGCCGGGCTCCGCCTGCCAGGGATCACCCAGTTGGAGCGCTTCGTGGGGCCTGAAAAAGGGCGAGCCGTTCCACAGGGGGGTTCACTTGGGGCTTCTGCTGCCCTGCCAATTTCCATGGAGATCTGCATGGTATGTCGTATGTAGAGGTGTTCATGTCTACATCTTTCGACCTCGGGCTCCAAACAAAATCACGGACCTAAGACGACCAAAGAGAGGTAGCCAGTGACCGTGACTGTAGGACCCGGAAAACCTGGAGTACCCGGAAGGCCTGGGAGGGCGTCGAAGGGCGTCGGGTTCTGACCCTCTGTTGGTAAGCTGAAGACCAGGTCGTTCCTGTCGGTCGTCGCGCCTCGAAAGCTGGGTACCAATTGCTCCCGCGTCGTGCTCTTCGGCGGCAGCGGCGGCAGTTCCATTGAGACCGGCGCAGTCTCTCGACCGGCGCGGCCGTGGTCGAGGGAGGAATTCGCTTTTTTTTGCAGAGCAGAAGGGGGAGAAGGAGCATGATTTGAAGATTTTGGAACTCATTGAACAGATTGCTCTGCGCTCGTTGGTGTGGTCGCACTGCCAAGATTGAAGACCGATTCCGTGATGTGATGAATCTGTCAGAAAGGTGAAGAAAGGTGCATATATCGGCCAAGCGCACGATTTCAGAATGCGAATTGCTGTGCTGAGATGCTCTTGTTGCTGCATGGCCGGCTTAAACAATACTCTCAGTACCCCTTGAGGGTCAAGGTTCCTGCGCCAACACGACACATCCAAGTGGCGAACATGGGTGTTTAAAATGTAAACATAATCTGAAGAATAGTCAATTGAATGCACTTCGTCTACCCTCCCTGGTCTCCATCCATGTTTCATCATGCATCCTTTCTCCTGGTCCTCATCCACTTTCGCCCTTCATCTGCTTTCCGGTCCATTTGTGTCATCATTGTCGGTCTTGGGACGTCCCGAAAAAACTTCGGAACACCGGCCCCCTGTATGTCAGACTCTTAACACCAAAACACGTCAACCACAGACTGTACCAAACTGAGGCTTAACAGGTCGTCTATATAGGCGAGTGCTCCATGTATTGGCATATCGCGGCACATATACCTATCATTGGGGTGGGTTCGAGGGTCAATGTGTTCAGTGGTGAATCTGAATCAGTGTATGTACCCCATGGATCGCCTGGGCTATACAGGTGATGTTTCCCAACACACACACACACAAACACACCCATCCTTGAACTTATTGAAGCTTGCAGGAGGAGTTCCATTGTGAATGGAAGCAAGATGAAGCAAGTATTGCTTGGTGTACCAGTGTACCCTATGTTTGAGTTCAACACCCAAACATCCAAAACAACGTTCCACTGCCCCACTCCCCTAGGCCAAAAAAAACAAGGCCCCACTGGGAACACGGCAAGGGCCGGCGCAAGGCCACGTTGCCAGGCAGTGGTCCTGACAGGTGATTTGGACCTAAAACTGGCTGTGAAGAGGGAAAGTACGTGATCCTATTCCGTGTCATGTTTAACACCAAGTCCCACCCAGTCAAAACCTGTGGAAAATCGCCAAAGGTTTTCTCATCCAGTGCTGGCCGCGCTGCGGCCACACCGTTTGTGGGACACTGCAGAGCCCGCGGTTTGGGACACCGTTGAGCCACTTGGGTTCCACCCGTGCAAAAACCGCAGCGCATGGGCTTTATGGGCTTTGGGCTCCAACGAAGGCCAACCCATGGGTTGGCCAACCGGAAACAATTCATTGGAGGACTCCTGGTCGACAAAACAGCGAAGCGAATCTTCCAAAGCTCCCAAGGACTGCCTGGCATGCCTGGTACTGGTGCTCCTCACAGATATCTGACACTTCGACCCGTCTCGCCACGTGGTTTGGGTTTGACCCGGCGCTGGCCAGCGCGCTGGCCAGCGCGCGCCGCAAAAGCGTCTGACCCGTCCTGCCGCCAGCGGAACTGGTTCCTCGGAAAATTCGAAACACGGTTGTTGAGGTCTAAAGGCGTGGAGAAGGATTTCACCATTTCTTCGTGGGACTGGTTCGTGTTCGTTTGGATCTTCCGGCATGCCGTCTGCGCCATGCCGATGTCTGCCTTACAGGATGAATTCATGCGGAAGATCCAGACCCATTCGGACCCTTCAGTCCTGGGCAGTGACGACGTCGCTCCGGTCGTGACCGACGGCACGTCGGTGGTGACGGTGGATGGTCTAACAAGTGGGATGGATGGTCGTCCTGCGAGGCTTCGAGTCTAGGGGCCCTGGACCTGGGCCTGGCATGAAAGTGCTGGGCCTGGCGAGGTATTTCCAATTTGAAAGATGATGAAAACATCTGATTTGGCCACGGGAAATCATGGGAATCACCAGCATTTCCACGTGTTGTTCTGTTTTGGAATCCGTCTCCCTCTGTTTTTGTTCCTGCTCTCATCAGGAAGTCGCGGGTACACCCATCACCAAGAAAACAACCAACACTACAGCAATGAAGGCCAGCTTATTATCACTACTTTTCTTAAGGGCTCCAGCACTTCGTTGAGGGGAGAAGCTGGTAGATAGAGCTCACAGCGGTATGGCTTCCCAAGCTTCAGGTCCGTCTTTCGACACCTTTATATAAGGGACCAGCTGATTGACACAGCTTGGGGAGTCTGAGTTTCCCCCAATTTGTTCAAAGTTACATGCTGTCTTCTTGAAGAGACTACATGAGACTACACTGCGACCCACTCACATGGCCCCCTGTGTAATCAAATGAATTTAGTATGTTTTTTCTCCACCTGGCCCAGTCGGAGCCAATTATACTGGGGTCAGATGATTTAGGCCAAGTCGTGGCCCGATATGACATACAACTTTTCCACCCTAAGAATCAAGGACCCTCAGTTCGGTGAAGGTTTTGAGGGTCCAAACCCCTGCGTTCTGCAGGGTCAAAACCCTCCATAGGAGGATCCAATGATCTTTAGGGCAGGGAAAGTCCTAACGGTCCTAAGTATCACCAAAACACTGACACTGCGACCTCGCCTTGTTTGGCTTTGGAAACCACCGTGACTCATGGACTCGTCGCCTACGCGGCCCTTTTCATGCACCCGTTGGGGGCGAGGAAGTGAAACACGTTGGTTCCACGCGCGGCGACCACCAAACGGGCCGATGGATCAGGGCGCCGATGGATCAGGGCGCTTTGGGCAGTGAAGCTCCTGAGGTCCCTGCCATGGTTTTGGGGGGGGATGCTTTTTGGTGCTGAACCATGTCTTCTTTCAGCAAGTGGTCCCAAGCAGCTACACGCAGCAACAATGAGAAAGACAGAGGTGGGTGATGCATGACCAAATCGGAGCCTCAGCCCCGCTACAACCTGCCTTCATGCAGGAGGAGAAGGGGCAACGATCTCTCTTGGGTCACTATCCCTAGAATTTCCGAAACACACCTGTGCTTCTCCCTGCACTGAGCCTTTCCCTTGAACATCCACAGACTGAAATGTTCAAGAACACCCACTAAGTCCACCACCCGCTTCATCGGAGTCACAGGTGTGTTTCGGGTCAAAGCCGCAGCAAGTTCCCACTTCGTGGTGCGCCACGGTCTGGTCATTAAAACGTTGCTCTCGATCTCGCCTAGGTCAGAGCGTCTGCAAGCGGAGCCACCCAGGCTGCGAATCCTCAAAACATGCACGTGGCAACTGATAAATACCACTTATATACAACACGGATGGACCATGCTGTCCAGATGTCCTTTCTGCACTGCCGGACGTGAAAAAATGGGTGTATCAATCATTTGTTAAGCATGTGTCATCTAAACGGGCGACCCGGCGGTTCATGAGATGAATTCGTGAGCTGCTTCCGCCTTGTACACCCCCCGCCCTGTACAATAAGCTGATATACCAGTACCAGTACCCTCAGGTCGAAGGTCGTTGGTTCAGGGTGGAAGGGCCCAAATACAGGTCGAGCCATTGGCTCGACCTGTTGATCGTTCCATGTGTACAGTGAACCTGTATACAGTCGGGTTGATGACACACCGCAATAACGCGTGAAACCTTCGTGACATTCCTTGACCTCACGTGAGCCTGCTGCGTCGCGGATCCTTCGGATCTTCCGGTAGGGCATTGAGGGGTGCAGCACAGGTCCAGCGCAGGTCCAAACCCATCCTGCGCCGGTGGGGTGGAACGGTGAACCACGTGAGGATACGATCATGAAGTACCTATAGGGGATACTTCCGGGGATACTGCGTGTTTAAAAACGGGCGCTATCTGGGTTGACCAGTTTCTAAGACGATATCCCGTTTCACACACAGCTATCAAATATCAGTTGTTGGCTTCTTTTTCAGTAGTCGAACTTGGAATATTTCCGAGGCGCTGGCTAGGCTCCACCTAATATATTAATATAGAATTTATAGAAAGTTATTGCCTTAAAACATAGACATGAAACACAGACTTGAATTCACATACCCCTTTGAAAGAGCCCATTCTTTAGACATCTTCATGACCCAGTCGCCTTCCATCTTCCAATCCTTCCAATCTGCCAAGCCACGGTCTTGCTTAAGTCTCCTTCGGCCGGCTCAGTCTCCAAGTCCCAGTCGCCCCTGCCACGGTCGTCGCTCACCCCGAACGACGACGGCGCCGGCTGCGTGCAGGCTGCGTGGGTTGCCAGGCTGGCGTCTCGGTGGTTCCGGGCTTTTGGAGTCACCCTTCAAGTCACCTACACGTACGGTACCACACTGGATCTGCTGGGCATCTGGGCTGGGCATCCGACTCACCTTCAGAAAAAACAAAGCAACAGCTGGTTGATCAAGCTGACCAACCCTTGCATCTTTGCAAGCACCAAGCCCTTTAGTTGGATCTTGACATTTCAAACTCCCAATCAACACACCTCCCACACCTCCACGTCCAATCCATCTGGCCTGGTACTGATTCATACACACCAAGCATCACACCACGCTTCAGTGCCGTCACCCGCAAAGATGAGGCTCTTTCGCAGCGGAATCCGCTCGTTGCTTCATCCGTCTCGTGCACCTCCAGTAGCCAATGACCGTCTCGGGTGCTGAAAAGCAAAGGTCCATCCTGCCGGCCGCAGAAAGGCCTGTGATGTCGAATGATTCAGAAACCCCACATGGTGCCTGAAGAGGTTTTGCCATCCATGTCTGGGGAGGTTTTACAAAAAAAACATATACATTACCACAATCGGTTGAGATGTCTTGGTCTTGGTGCTTGGGCAGCCAGGTTGTTGGGATAACTTCCTGGGGAGGGGTCGGTAGCACGGTGGGCGCACCGGCTACGCGCGACACTAGACTTATATATCTAGTTCATGAAGTCCCCAAACACTCCTACTGTAACTTTGCTGCAAGGGGGGGCCATATGCAATGAGGCCCAAAAGATGCCAGTCCCATGGAGTCGCCGGGTGTTTCTAAAGCTCCCAGAGCTAAGGCGAAAGGACACTTCTCTGTACAGTCCACAAACATGGGACAAACGGACAAACCCAATTCAACGGGTTTTTGGACCTCTGAAATTCGTGCTCTCGTTGCCATGGCCTTTGCGGGCCCTTTCAGCTCCGCGGCCCGCGATCGGGAGCCCCACCTTGGAGCCACTCGGGCGCCACACAGGTCGGTGGTGGAGCAACTCGCCCTCCTTCCAATACCTGGAGGCCAGGAATGCGGCCATGCCAGGTGCCTGCCTCCACTCCCGATCTTTCAATACGTTTTAGTTGGAAGACAACAACCCAGATCGGTCGTCACATCGCTGCCGTGGTGGTCGAAACCTGCCGATCTTGCATCCAAAAACACCTCTTGGGTTAAACAAAATATGCAATTGATTAGGGGTAGTTGGCGAAGGATTTGAGGGGTCTTGGGATTAAAGTGAACCCTGCTGTTCTTCCATGCTGAGTTGCGGATGTTAAGGCAGATGTGTCATGCCAAATGTGTCATGCCAGATGTGTCAAGCCAGATGTCATGATGTCATCCCAACAAAGGTTGAAGAACCCTACAGGCTATCCTATGTTTGTTTTTTTAGTTCCCTAACACCTAAGAATCCTTGGGCTCCCCATGGCAGGGGTCGGACCCTCCATAGCAGGGGTCCGGGCCCTCAAAACCCTATCTGTTTGAGGGTCCGGATTCTTAGGGTAGCTTCCTATAAGGTCCTTCAACCTCTGTTGGTCTTTCGTCCACAACGTCACTCTTTCCATCTTGGGGAACTCTTCCGAATCGTCCGAACGGCTTGGACCAACGCGGCGCACGTGCCCAGCAAGTGCTCATGGCCCAAGACAATGCCGTCGACCGCCTGGAGAGGTGTCCGAAGGGCAGGGAAGAGCGGGAGAGAAGGGTGGGCAAAGGTCTCTTACTCTTGCTGTACTGATGACTTGACTGATCCAATATCTTGACACTGCAGTCTTTTACTTGGAGAAGATCAATGAAACGGGAGTAGAGCTTGGAGATGATGGTCCGTATTAAGCATGGTTGTGGTTCTAGATTTGTGGGTGAGTTAAAAACTAGTTCCACTGAAGGAAAAAACTGGTGACCACTCCCACTCCTTAAATGAAAAAACGTCACCCCCTCTCTATACATTAATAGTGGTCTCAAAGCTGATATTGGTAGCACTGCTGCTTGGACCACATGGCCTCAGTCACCCATGTCGGCTGAAAAAGGGTATGTTTTGCACACGCTTTTGTGACTGCTTACATTGTCTGGAGGCTTGTCTGGAATATGATCTGGCTAAACTTCTGGTGACCAGCTTCTTCAAAGTCCAGTGACCTTTTCTGTCTTTTTGTGAGCTCAAACAAAAGGATCAAGTTTGGTCACTTAAGGGAACCAAAAACAATACGTGTTTTTTGGTTCCATTCCTCTGTTGTCTCCGGTCCATACCAATGGTCAATGACCTACACTCCGCACAAAAATCGTCCAGCTCCGCGTGCGAGCCTCGACGTGTAAGACCGGCAGACTCTCCGGTGGATTGGTTTGAAGCAAAGCGCTGCTGGGCTCCCAACCCCTGCTGCACTGCACCTGGGGAAAAAGCAAAATCTATCTGATAGGTACCCCAGGTGACGGGTGACGGGTCCTATAAGGTCACTTAACCTGTTTTTTTGGAAGGTTGCTGATGGAGTTTGGATGGGTTCTTTTATTGGCCGTGTCTGAGTCTTGCTCAGCCGCGCGAATACGGCGAAAGGCATGCAACCATGGTCTTTCAAAGCTTGGCCCGGCATGAAAACCGGCGTCTTCACCGAAAGGCCCGTCGCAGGTGGCGGTGAAACCGTTTCGGCCGAAGTCTAAGTTGGACGTGGCAAAAATCGATCTCGAATCCTGTTGCTCCGGCGGGAACGTTCAATTTTGAGACAGTGACGACAAGAGCAATAGCTACATGCATACATGGCACGCATTACATCTCGTAGAAAGCTGGGTCAGTGGAGCCAAGCACATCAAGCACTGATTCAATCCATCCAAAAGTGTTATGTCTATATCTCACATATCAAAACATGACAATGTCAAACTCATAGTCCCATCACACAAGCTTGGTTGGCCGTCGCCCACCATACTGCAGACAGTTTTTAATTTTCAGAATTCCCTCGGACAGAGAGGTTTTGAGGCCGGTTGCGGAGGCCGTTGGAGGCCATCGCTAGTAGGTTGGAGGCCATCGCCATTAGATGCTATTAGGCTATTAGTATGCTGTGTTCATAATCACAAAAAAAATAAACACGGCGCGCCGCGGATGGGCACCTGCCACTCCTCGCAGAAGTGTGGCATAGAACCACCATGAGGCTGGCTGGAGGCTAGGGTGCCCAAGCTGCAGCCGAACAAGCTGGGGAACTCCTCTTGACTCAGCACGTGATGCGAAAAAATGACCCACGACTCCGCACGGTCGTTCGACCGTGCACTCGGCGCGACATGACGTGATGATACTTTCCGACGGAATCTGAAATGGGTGCTTGGTTGTTGTACAATTCTGCTGAGGCACAATGGATTTCCAAATGAGCGTTGTTCAAAACCAACTGAGAATTGAATCGAATGATGGGCTCTTCTTTCGCAAGTTTCTTTCGCAACATGTTCACAGTTTGTATGTCGTTTTTTCGCCCTCTGCATCCTCTGCAAAGCCACTTTCACAAACATTCGCGGACACAGCATCCAGTCTGCATCCAATCGCAGCTCCATGTTGGTGATGGATGAAACCATATGGTCCGTATGAACACCAAATTCAAACCCCAGAAGGTGTGCGCTTGCGAGTAAGAACCCCAGAGGGGGAACATACATATTATAGATATGATTAGATATGTATGTCTGGGTTCGTAGTGGCGCTTGCGAACTTGCGAATTGGACGCCATCTTTTGGATCGGCCTTTAATCCTCTGTGGCCCAGAGGAACTGCGCAAGGCTGCCGCGTTGGTTGCGCTAGCTGCGGCTCCCACGAAGCAAGAAGGGACACACCGTCTGGATCCTTTTGCCTGTATCCATCGGGTGAGAAGAGTCTGTCCTGAGCAGGCATTGTGAACAAACGTGTGCAAACATTATAATGTTTGATCTAGAATCTATAATTGATAGACTTAGATATCCATAGTATTTCTTTGGAATTTTTGGTCACCGCTGGCAAGAGCTTTCAACTCGATCTGGCTACTCAACAAGGAAGCCAGCACTGGAGCACGCTGGAGCAGGAGCGCTCCAGTAGCGATGTACTGACCAGTTTTGGAGGCTCAGGACATGGGCAGATAGGATGTCGCTCTCGCAGATCACACAAAAGTTTGGGAGACGCGCCGCGCCAGCACCGAGCCTTGGGTCTCCAGCAACTCACCAGATCCAACTGACCACACCTGTACTCAGTTGGGCCACTGACCACACGGCCACTCCCCATCACTTCCAAGTGATTTCAGGACCTGGCGATACCTAGCGATACCATCACCACACTGGACGACCTCGCCACACCATCACCACCCACCTGCAGCACCTCCTTCCACACTGGGCATGTGATTCGGAGCAGGGAGACAAGGAGGGAGAACCCGAAGAGAGCCGAAGACCCCGCCAGAAAAACGCCCCAAAACCCCGCAGAGGAATCAAAGCAAATGCTTTTTGGGGTCAGGGATTCAACACAAGATGTCCCCTTCCAAAGGCCCAACCAAATACATGTCAGTCCGTGGCATGCAAAAGTCGACCAACGTCAATGCCAGAGGGCCAAAGATGTTGACTAAGAAGAGGGCCCCAAAAGTGGGCCTGCAAGACCCGACGTCGCGTGAAACAGCACAGCGAATGAGCGAGCTCATAGCACACCGGTCAGAACAGCACACTTTTTTTCTGAGAGGTACGAGTGTGCAAACATATATGAGTCCACACATAGCAAAGGACATAGATGAGAGCACAAATATGGGAGCAAAGGTGATACGTTGCTGGCTGGCTGATTCTGCCAGGTACCCGGTGCAGAAGGCCACGATCCTCCCTGATTGTTTGGGATTTGGCGCAACTATTAAACGTAGATGGCTGAAGGGGTCACTTCTCAACCGCTGTTTGACTCTTTGTTCTTCAAGGTTCCTAATAGGGGATCCTGTCACTCGGACAAAGGGCGCCACACACACAGAGAATATCTTGAATTGTACGAAAGGACGGTGAATGCTAACAGCGTCATGCTCCCGGGCTCCTTCTGCGAAAGGCACCAAAAGCCATCAGAGGTGCTGTAAAGCCAAGTTTCAGTCCTTACAGTGAGACTTGAAGACAGTCTTGTGAGGTAGTCCAGTGTGATCCCTGGGAGTGTTCTGGGGTCTTTGTCATAAAGGACATGAGATCTTTTTAAAAGAAGTAGTCTTACTGTCATCTTGAACTTGGCAGAAACCCATGACCTTTGCCACTTGCAGGAGCAAGCCACCCTGAGTGATGAATTGCCTGGTAGAACTGCGGTAGAACCCAAGAGTAACATGTTTTTGCCACAAATATGTAAACTGAACCGAAGAGTCTACAGCAAGGAATGTAGTTAAGTGCCATGGCACTGCTGTTTTCATGGCACTTCGTCTTGCCTCTTGCCCCAAACCACTCCGCCCAACCACTCAACCAAACCACTCACTTGCTCGCCCAGTGGCCCACGGTCATTGCATCGCCAGAGCGGCTGACCATTCAAGAACCTTGCTCCGCTTGGGCCGCGGACGTCAAGGAGTCATCCAATGCCAAGGACCCAGGACGCGTTTTGTAGGTCGATGAGGTCGTCGTTTTGGTCCTTTTCAAACCATCTAGAATCTAGACTTCAAAGGGCACCATACTTGTTTTGATAGGTAAGTATCTTCTTGGATGGTTATTGTTGTACGTCTGTTATTGCCATTGTAGGAGAAGCATTTTATGAGTGCCTTCCAGTGTATGACTAGCCGACTGCCCTTTGCATCCATAGTGGGAACCCATCCGGACCTTCTTGTAAGGTCCAAATGATCCAGAAAATGTTTAATCAATAAATGTAAATAATACCTCACCACGTACCTCACCATAGCTCATGGTCAATCACGGCACTGCCAAACTGATTTTTTGGGTACTCTCTGCATAGCAAAAACGTCCAATGCTTCCACGGTTCCAATCTCCATCAATCTCCTGCATTTTACCCCTCCTTGTTTAAACAGGAGTGCAGCCTGTGCTCTGATAACAGTTAACATGGGTTTTCACCATGGAATTCTTACACGCGTTCCCCCGCCGCGATGACCCGAATCTGCCTACGTCTGTCTGTCTTCGTTCTTCAGACCGCCCCAAACGCCGAAGCCGTGAGTTCCGCCCGAAGCCGTTCCGGTCGAAGACTGGGTCTTCAGTCGCGGTGCTCAGACTTCATGAGTTCGTAGACGGAATCTCGCTGCTCTGTGACCAAGTACAGGACCGGTGGGAAGGACAAAGGCCCTGCAGCAGCGTATCGCTGGGACGGTGGGGAGCCGTGGTGTTCGGACCCGTGTTCGCGAAGGTGAAGCAGAAATGAAGAGACCGCCCAACACGGGATCTTCAGACTACGATCTTCTTTCGCTTCTTTCATGTCCTGATGTCAGGCCGCTTTTGGTGGAAAAATGCCAGCTTCACCGAGCTTTCCATCTGTTCACTTGACCAGTCGCTCGCATGCGACTAGCGATGCGGTGTCATGGACGCTCTGGTCCCACACAAACCGAAAAGTCCAAGTCCCACAAGGAGAGCTTCTGGCTGCAATCATCTAGAGGACTCAAGCTCACAAGTATGAAAAAGGAGCCGCGCTCCATGCATGGACCCCTTGGGGATTGCAGATTGCCACATTTGTGGATCATGGTGGGTTCATGGTGTCCTGGTAGGAGCTCTTGCGTTCGACACTGGAAAACACAAGCACACGTTCTCCTCAAAAATCTTTAAAATCTCGGCAAATCTTCGCCGTGGACGGTGCAACTGACGGTGCAGCCACCGACTCTAAAGGAAAAAATGGGCCGTGCACAGGAAAGCCACGGAAAGTGAGCTCAAGGTATGCCTCAGGTCGCTTTCCATCCGTTCCATGTTTCGTGGGGTCCCACTGTCCCACTTCCCAATCCCACTTCAACAGGTCCACCAGGTGATCCACTGGCTGGATTTTCAGCGTAGGCGGCCTCTGAAACAGAACAATGCCCTAATTAGGCGGCCTTCATGCAGAACATCTGTTTCATGGAACATCTGTTTTGGAGCAGGAGCAGGACATTGGAGGGTTGAACCACCAGATGCCACAAGGGTTTCCTGCAAATGTCTCCCTTGAACCAACCAACAAAGGTAGCCAGTGACCGTAAATAGGACCCGGAAAACCTGGGGTACCCAACTGGGATAGTCGAACTAGGGTCCTTCAACCTCTGTTAGAATTCATTGATTGAAGAATCACCCATGGACCCACCCTGCCCCGACCGGCCTTGCAGTACCTTCACCTCGCCACACTCGCGCCAGCCATTCAGCGCATCCCGAATCTGCCAAGGCCCTGCCTGGCCAAGATGTGAAGATGTGTATAGTAAGAGTGGATGATGATGATGATGATGATGATGATGATGATGATGATGATGATCATCATCATCATCATCACCGCCATCATCATCACCGCCATCATCATCATCACCATCATCATTGCTAGTAAAGGCCTTTCTCCAAAAAGAAACAGGATGATTTGTGATCCTCCTCTAGCGACTGTTGCTGGTACAGGAAGATGTAGACCGTACCCCTTGTGGTTCTGTCATGTTCTATCCTTCCAACTGGTTCATCCGGGACGTTCACCAAAAGCCTTTGCACCCAAAGACCCGCTGTCCGACCGAGCCGTTCGGAACAATCCAATGGCCCAGCATGGTTCCGAACAACCAAGCTGTTTGACTAAGGATTTGACGCTGCAAAACCAGCTCAAACAATTTTACATTCACCAGGGCAGAGATCAAGTGCCGGCCAACGCTTGGAAAACTGTACTCACCATCGTCGTACATTTACATGCCAAACCAGTCACTGTTCCAACTGTGGCAACTGACCCTCGAGCCGTTTTGGTGGAAAATAACGACTAAACCATTTTCCACCTGTTGGATCTTCGTGGGAAAAACACGCCCCCCAAAAAGGCCAATGGATGTTAACAGCTTGTGTTCTATCCTCCATGCAAGGCAGCTGCTGGGACAAACCTTGCTCATCGAGGCCAAAAAAACAAATAACCTAAAAAACGAAGGACGCATGTTACGCCAAACACTGAGGATACCAATACTCTATGTATGTATGTATGTATGTATGTATGGTAGGGTAGGGTAGGGTAGGGTAGGGTAGGGTAGGGTATGGCATGGTACTGTACTGTACTGTAGTGTATGGTTTGTATGATATGGTGTTGTATGGTATGGTATGGTATGGTAAGGTATGGTATGGTATGGTATGGTATGGTATGTCTGGTCTGGTCTGGTCTGGTCTGGTCTGGTCTGGTCTGGTCTGGTCTGGTCTGGT